CTGGCAGCCCTCGCTTCTCCACGCCTTTGCTAACGAGCAACCTCCATGTTCTTCTCTTCCAAGGGCCTGCCTTCCCAACACCCCCCCATTACCCTTCCGACACGGATTGCCTTGCCCGCCGCCATCGGGGGGACTGCGTTTCGGCAAACCGAACGCCCTGGGTTCACCTCCTGAGCCCCTGGGTCTGGGTTTACGTTCTGTAATGCTGCAAAACATTCTGCATATAATGCAGATGCAACCCTGCTCTTCACCTCGCCAGGCCGGCCTTTTTCGGTAAATTAATGCTCCTCTTGATGCAGGTTTTTCTTCTGGGCTCGTTAATAGGGAAATCTGACAAATTCTGGCGCTCAGGGAAGATTTAACACGTTATCGCTTATGCGATACTAGATGATATGGGCTTCTCAGGCTCTCCAAGCTTGTTAAGTTCTTTTGAAAGCGTGCCTCTGCAAACATACTTGCCCTCTGCTTCTTCAACGAGTTGGGAATCTCCACACGGATGGGTTGGCATGCTTCCACCGTCACACAGGCATGGCGTGTGTGACGGTGACCTTGATGGACCCCGCGGAAATGCAAGGAACCTGGCTGGCTCCTGCTCTGCCAGGGCGGCTCGCGGTGTCTGGTCGCCAGTGTGTGCTTCCAGTCCAGTATATAGATGTAAACATTAGTATGGAAAACAAAGGGTGGTAAAGAAACATAGCAGCAATTGAAAAATGCCTCCTGGAAATCCAGGGTTTAAATTCCTGTGGTCTTGTCTTATTTTTCTTCGGGATCCTGTTAGTCTAACCAACTCATTTCTTTGTTTAAGACTAAAGGGAATGGTTTCGTTGAGCACTCAGTGGAAAGAGACTTTAGTTTTTTGACTTAAAGATGGCATTTGAGAACTTCAATCTAGGCTTTTCTCAAAATGAGACTTCCTATTTGTAGGATTTGCTTTGTGTTTCAGGGAGAAAAAAAATTCTCCCCCAAACGACCCATATCTGAGGGCTTTTCAGCAGTGTCTTCTCACTCCCTGCCTGGGCACGGAAGCCCGTGCAGAGGAGTGCTCTTGCTCTGAGCTCGGCTGCGCATGTAATTTATTGGAGAAAACAGGGTCAAAGATCTGTTTTGGAGCTGGGGAGGGGATGGGGAATCTCCCTGCAGCACGGCAAGAGAGTGTTATAATTCGGGTTTGGCCTGTCATTTACTTTTCTCTCACCTAGTTATGTAGATAAAACAGTTGAAAATATTTTCGTGGTTTGGGAAACATCACATACACCAGAATTGCAGCTAAAATGTTGGACCACCTTAAATTTTGTTAAGAACCTGGACTGCATTCTGATCAGGCTGTCATTGAATGCGACTAAAGATACTTCTTATGGTTCCTTGCATTATATTTGATGTAGAATTCGGATGCTGCTTCGCAATATGCTACTCACTGTGATCTTCAAACTAGAAAAACATACCTGGGAAGGATTCAAAAATGCAACCCCGTCTGGTACCTTGTGCACATAATGCAAGATACATGGTTTGGGGGTTTCTTCTTTTATTTAAAACTTTGTAGCTGGTCAGCATGAGTGGTTCGCTCTAGGTTAAGAAAGAAAAAGTGACCAGCTCTATCTGATTTCCTCTGAAGCAGAGCTTCAGGCTTGGCAAGGTCATATCTAGTGTATGACCTCTCTGCAAATATTAGTGGAGTGGAATTACCAGCAGGGAAAGGGAGCAGCCGGCTGTGTTCTGCCGGTAAGGCAGCTTGCAGAGCGCTCGGACTTTGCAGGGAGGACTCAGTACAGCTCTGATGCCGGTGGAGCTGCTTGTACTCCAGGTTTTAGTTCCTTTTGGAAAGGTCTTGCAACCTTTGTGGGTTAAAAAACAGCCCAGCAAAAAAATAAATTTGTGGTAGAGTTGAGGGAATAAATGAGTTTATAATCGTGTCAACCTTATTTGCCCATTGGAGAACAATCCACTTTTGTGCTTTATTAATTATGAAATACTAATGCAATTACAACCTCAAGATCCAGGCATTTTATCTGGGATAGACCCAGGGACAGCAATGATTCTGTTTTCTCCTTTAACTCTTCAATAGTCTGTGATAGCTCTCATCCCTCGGGCTCTTGAGAGCCTTTGTAATTGGGCTCAGGTCATTTTGTGCAGATCCCTAAAACCACTTTGAAACAAGCTCAGAACTCGAAGTGGAATCAAAGACCTGCAGCTCGTTGGTATTGAGTCATCCGTCACAGTCAGCGTGTTGGTTGGGAAATCTGCTTTTCCTGGGTTACAAAATTGGTTATGGAGCAATTTCAGGAGTTGTCTACAGTGGGAAGTTGCTCCGGAATAAAGCAGCATGTTCATCTGAAGTGGATAACGGTATAACTAATAGGATAGAGGGGTTTATTTCTGGAAGGAATGCCAGTGAAACACCGGTGCGTGTAGCTAAACCCACTGCACGGACCAGTCCTGTGGTTTTGAGAAGGGTTTGATGTGGAGGACAGAACAATTGTGCTACTTCAGAGCAGCTGTTGATGGAGTACATGCATGTTACGTTTCTCTGGCTTGCTTGGTTCGCGGGAGAGGGAAAATTCCTCTGTCTTGTGGAAATAGGGCTCATGGAAAAACTTCTCTTAAGGGCTGGTTATACAGAATTGTTTCTCTTGCATTCCCCCGTCTCTCTTATATAACCCTGCTCTGACCAAAGGAACACTTTGGAATCAAGGTGCACGCTTTGCCACAAAACAAACAACAGGTATTGAATAAGCTATATTCATCCAGTGCTTGTCCAGGCTGAGGACTGATTTGGATTCCCCTGTAGTGAGTGAAATACGTATTTTATGGCTTTTGGTTTCTCGATGAGGCCTGAAGTACCCTCATTTTTTATTTGCTCAAAGCCTCCTGTTTTCTTTTTGCGTTCAGCTGTACTGCATGCCCGCTGCTATTCTCATGGGTCACAAGAATCAGATGAAGAATTTGATGCTCGCTGGGTGACGTATTTCAACAAGCCAGATATTGACGCCTGGGAGCTCAGGAAAGGTATGTTGAATTAAAAGGGAAGAGTGACACGGAGTAAACGGAACTGTCTTGTGACCAGAAATAACAACTTATTTTCACTTTGCTGTTGGAGAGCAGAAATAGGGAAAACTTGAAAGTTTGGTGTAGGAGAGCAATCCTGCAAATATCCAGAGGCCAAGGCGCTATGTAAGCCTTTCTTTATCTGTTCTGAGTCACCTGGCTGCCCCGCTCGTGGCTCGTGCCTGTGGCTGGCTGTGTGCTGCTGTTTGCTCAGCTCTGAGCCTGTTGCAGCAAGTGATGGCACCTCACCAACCAAATGGTGGGGGGGGGGGTCGGAAGGAACCGCAACATGCAGAATGAGGGAGGGTGGGGTGTACAAAGCGGGTGGGAGTCCAGGCTCTGTAAATCTTAGTCCCCCAGAATACGCATTTTAACACCTGGATGGGAGGGAGAGAAACGTTTGCTCTGAGGAAAGTGTATTTGAGCTCAGCTGTTGCGTAGCGAATAACCACACACATTTTTCTTTGGACTTTGACATAATAGCTTGGCCATAACTCACAGTAGACTGCTTGTCTTCGGTTGTTATTTGCTGTGGAGTTGCCAGCTCCTATTAAACTACCCCAATTAGAGCTTATAAATGTGTTTGCATAGCAGCCAGAGGGATCATTCCGGCCTCACGTGGATGCCTAGGTGTTGGGCTCTTCCCTTTGAAAGCAGAGGAAGGAAATAGACAGTAGCTCAGGTTCTGGTTTCATTACACTTGTAAAAATGAAGTCATTTGGATTTCTTAATGATTCCATGACTGATGTGCCGTGGTACAGACACTGACTCCTTTGGGGAGCGTGGATGAAACTGGCCCACTGGGAAATCCACTTCAAATCTTAAAATCTACAGTAGGGAGCAACAGGGAGAGGGAGGAGAGCAGAAGAAAACCCTTGGCTGTGTGCGTGTGGCACCAAAGTAGCAGTGAAAATTGTAATCAGCTTCTGGTGGTGTGGTAATACTTAATTCTTTACTAAGGTGGAGCAAAAAAAATGCTCAGCAGGTTTCTTTTGATAGCATGATGAGCTGATGCCAAGTTCCCCTCGGTGTTTCCTTATATTCACAGGCATAAACACGCTTGTGGGTTATGACCTGGTTCCGGAACCAAAAATCATCGATGCAGCTCTGAGGGCGTGCAGACGGTTAAATGACTTCGCCAGTGCCGTCCGCATCTTAGAAGTTGTAAAGGTGAGTGGAACGGCAGCCTGGGGTGTAACTGCTGTGCTGGCGTTGCTGACAGCCCAGCAGCCGAGGAGTTTTTCTTGCCTTTCTGTTAGTGGTGCAAAGGAAAACCACCGTTTCCTGCTGCCAGAATCAACAGCTTCTTTACGAGCACGTGCTCAGTGGCTTGAAATAATTGTTTTGGGGTAAGAGTACTCAACAGCACAGCTTCGCGAAGTACGACGTTCTTATTTTCGTATTTTCCTGTCCTGATACTGACTCTGGTGGGAAAGTCTTCAAGGATTTTTCTTCCTTTTTTTTTTTTTTTTTAATAAGCATTACTAGAAATATCGCAATTCAAGGCAGCTCACTGGCTTCTTCAAGGACTGAATACAGAGCTGGCTGGGAGCAGTCACTCAGGAAGCTGCATAGGCTTGACAAACAACATGAACCTGCGCCTTGAAACCCGAGTCCAGCCTTCACTTACCAGGGAGTTAAAACGGGTGGGGATGGAGGTGGGAACTCTTCTGTTTCAGTCGTAGAGGCCAGCAGCTGCGCTTTTCCAGGGACTGGCGTGGAGGTCTTTGCTGCCAGCTGCTAAATCCACTTGCTTCAAACTCTGCTCCGCAATCGGTTGCCTCTCAGTTTGCTATTTCTGCATTCTTCTGTAGAACTGAAACTCTTTCAGTGGTTTTAGAGACATAAAACCAATGGAAGAATCTTCATAGGTTTTCTTTTTTTTTTTTTTTTTTTTTTTCCCCCCCCGCCCTGGTCCCCCACCATGTAGGGGACAACTCAGTTTATCAGAACTCGGGGGCAAGTTTATGGCCTTCCTGGCGTCCTGCCTAAATATTATTCAGGGGATATGATGTTTTTCCCCTTATTTCCAAGCAAGTTAAATTTTCTCTCAGCTCTGCCCAAAAGCTGTTTTGAGGTTTTTTTTCCCCTTTTACTGATCAGATACCGTTTTCATTGCGTTTCCGAAGGTGTAAGCGGTCTTTGAGCTGGTTTGCAAAGCACCCCTTGTTCGAGGAGCTTGGCTTGGCCTTCAGTTTTGCGTGGTGCGACACCCACGTCACGGGTCACGTCAGCCTGACGTTAAGTGAGGGAAAGGCGTAGAGTGTTACGAATAATATACAAATCCCCCAAAGGGGAGCTCAGCGTTATTCTGTGGCGCTTTGCAGCCACGGTCGATTAGGAGGAGGACTTTCCAGCGTAGCTGTACACCGGCCGTGTTTACTTGACGTGTGGATGAAGGTGGGCTGTGCTGTCCTGTCCTGCCCCACCGCGAGCGATGGGTGGATCAGACCACAGAGCGTTTTATGAACGTGGGGTCTCGGTTGCAAACCTGGCCGGTGTAGGGTGGAGCCTGCTGTTGAAATAACGCCGTTCCTTTTCGTTTAGGACAAGGCAGGACCTCACAAGGAAATCTATCCGTACGTTATCCAGGAGCTTAGACCAACTTTGAGTGAACTGGGAATCTCCACTCCAGAGGAGCTGGGCCTGGATAAAGCATAAACCTTATCGGTAAGGGATGCCGGTGCTGCCAAGACTTTTGGCGTGGGGCTCTGCTACCCTAAAATGCTACGCTAAAACTCCCCTGGCAAAGACAGGAGTCCTCTTCCTTGCCTTCCTGGGTCTGTGAAGTTCTTCTGATGTGGTTCTCCAAATGTCTCTATGACTACAGGTCTCCTGGAAAAGGCAGTAACCTTTTTCTAAGAAGGCTTAAAAAAAAAAGACCAGCGTGGTGCCTTGAGGAAGGGATGGGGTGGTGGGTAGCCATGCCCAACCTCCCAGAAATTTCTAGATAGCGGTTGCCGAGACAACAGGGGTTGCAGCACTTCTTTGGCAGCGTGGCGACCTTTGCTCCTCATCTGCTTTTCCCCCAGAAGCATTTTTTTTTTTTTTTTGGGGGGGGAATGGCAGGATCATTTCCTCTGGAAATGGACAAACTTTCATTTTATTGTCACAGTGTAGCCAGTTTAGAAAAACGGGAGACACTAATTACTACCTCATGCTCAAAACTGGGCCCTACTGATGGTAGTCACCCAACGACACTGAGGTTTCTACTTAAAGTAGCATCTTTTTCTGTAATTAAACGCTAATTTGGAGGGCCCCTTGCTTACGGAATAAACAGATTGGCTGTAGTGTAGCCAGAGCTTAACTGCTCCGTGCGCAGAACACTCGTGAGCCTCAGGAAGTGATTTTGGGAGCAGGACACGCAGTATTTCACCCTGGTGGCAGGGTGATGGCACCTCAAGTCTCAGAAAGCTGCTTGTTTTACTGGGTTTTTAGAGCTGAACTTCTGGCTACTTTCTAAAACTTGAAAAAAAGTTATAACTAAGGGGTTTTGATCTATCTACATGGCAAATGCCAGGCTCTTGCGTGAACTGCAGCGCGTGAAGGCGTCATTGCTAAGCAGCAGCTTGTCTGGTTAATGAGGATCTCTCGTTAAGTATAGGCAAGACCTAACGTGCTGTAATCCCAGACTAAAATGAAGCCCGAAATAAAAATCCTTGTGGAAGCTACGTAAAGGCAGGCTCCTAACTCGGTCCCTTCGGGAGACGGCCAGTGTCATATTCCAGCCTTTTTTTAATACTGCACGTAGAACAGAGCTATCGGGTGTCGGGCTGCACGTCGTGCTTCGTTTGGGATCTTTTAAGTCCTTCGCCCTTCTTCTTCTTGCCCTGGGAGATGAAGTTGGGAACACGGTCATTGCGTTCGGAAGCTGTCCCGGATTAAACTGGGCTTCGAGTGTTAAAAAAAAAAACAACAAACAAGCAATAAAAAGAACACTTCGGACACCCCGCGGAAACTTTGTGGAGATGACGGGCTGCTCCTTTAATGGTTTTTCTCTTCTTTTCTCTTCTCAGGTGCATTACTCGAATGTTTTACTGATGTTAGCTGATTGTCGCCCGGAGACAAAAATGTTAAAATATTACCTTATTTGAAAGACCTTCTTCCTTTATTGAGTCACAGTGTAGGTGATGTGAAGCTACACCTAATAAAGGAGAAACTGGTTTGACTGATGGGGCAGCGGTGGCTTGTGTTATTATTTATTTTTCCTTTTAGTGGGGGGAAAAAAATGAAGAAATGAACTATAAATGTGCTTTTCCAGCGGAGGAAGTGCCAGAGCTTATAAATCCCCCTCGGTTTGGCAAAGCCAAGCGGGAAGGGAGAGGTGAGGAGCCCTCCTGTATCCTCGGCTTTGGGCCAGAGGAAGATGAGGACTTGCAAAAACTTCCCCCTTGCCCTCGGAGGGGTCGTTTCGCCGTGACGAGGTCGGGGCTTAACGAAGCCCCCCCGAGGTGGGTACGGCAGGCTGCTGTTGGCAGGGGGTGCGCTATCGCTCCGGTGCTGTGCAGGGCTGGGAATCTGTTGTGGGATAGAGCCGGTTTTCCACCTCGGTTCTGGCGCAGGTGGGGATTTTGGTTTAAAAAAAAAAAAAAAAAAAAACCAAAAGGGGGGAAAAAGGAAAATTCCTTTATTATTTGTTTATTTTGTTCTCCTAGAAAAAGGGATTTTTTTTTCCAGGAAAAACATGAATTCGGGCAGGGAAGCAGCTCCCCGTTGCACGTGCGGAGCGGGACCTCCCGGTACCCCTGTGTCGCGGTAACCCGATGTCCCGACATCCCGCTGCCCCGGTCGCTCGCCGGGCGCGCTGCGCATGCGCGGCGAAGGGGCGCGCCACTCCCCGCCT